CCACCGCGAAATCCTGAGGATGCACCAGAACCAATTCCCGTGGACGTGGTCTTGCGCAACACCAAACACGTCGATATAAGATCCCACACCAACAGGAGTATCCGCAAAGAGAACCTATAGGATGCTCGGAAAAATCCAGCCCGGGAAGAAAGAGAGGCGGACGGGAGAAACGGAATAGAAAAACCTCAGCACATCGTTCATATGATCATAGAAGGGAACGACATTCCCCAAGGGCCCGTGATCAAGCGGGCAAGGGTTTCCATCGAAATGGAAGGGCAAAGCCGGGGCCACATGCCCGAGGACGTCCTTGCCTTCAGTGAAGAGGACTTCGAGACCTTGTCCTACCCCCATAACGACACACTGGTAATTTCATTTCTCTTGAATAACGTTCAAATTAAACATGTATTCGTGGATCCAGGTAGCTCGGCCAACGTAATCAGGTCGAAGGTGGTGGAGCAGCTCGAATTGCTCGATCAAATCATACCTACCTCTCAAGTCCTCAGTGATTTCAACATGGCCGGCGAAACAATGATGGGGGAGATCACCCTCACGGTCAACATGTCCGATACAGTTCGAAACACAAAATTTCATGTCATCGGAGGTGAAATGAGATACAATGCATTACTTGAAAGACAGTGGATACCCAACATGAGGGCAGTATCGTCAACTCTTCACCAGAGGATAAAGTTTTCGGCAGAAGACGGTATAAAAACGGTATATGGAGAACAGCATGTGGTGAGGGAGATGTTTGTGGTTCATGAGGAGCCACCAACTCGATACCCTCCACCTCGGCAGAGCCAGAAGACAAACAGACCCCCGAGAACGATGAAGAAGACTTCCTAGTCACGTGAACCTTCATTGCCCCCGAAGAATCAGACGCAACAAAATCAACAGTGGAAGAGCTGGAACAAGCCATTTTGGTCGAGCATCTCCCGGATCGGAAGGTATACCTGGGAACGGGATTAACCCCCGAACTCAGGAGGAAATTCATTCAATTCCTTATTAATAACATCGATTGCTTTGCGTGGTCCCATTTAGATATGACAGGGATTCCGCCAAAAATAACCACCCATCGACTAAGTGTCGACCCTAGGTTCAAACCGGTGAAGCAAAAAAGAAGACCTCAGTCCGAGGTAAAACACGCGTTCGTCAAGGATGAGGTAACAAAACTCCTCAAAATAGGATCTATTAGGGAAGTAAAATATCCCGAATGGTTGGCCAATATGGCGGTAGTTCCCAAAAAAGGGAATAAGTTAATAATGTGCATAGATTATAAAGACTTTAATAGAGCACGCCCCAAAGATTCATTCCCGTTGCCCAATATCGATCGCTTGATCGATGCTACAGCCGGCCACGAGATCCTCACCTTTCTCGATGCCTACTCGGCGTATAATCAAATTCAGGTGAACCTCGAAGATAGGGAAAAAGCTTTGTTCATCACGAAGTACGGTACGTACTGCTATAATGTGATGCCCTTCGGGCTAAAAAATACGGGAGCCACATACCAACGCCTAGTTAATAAGATGTTCGAAAACCAAATAGGCAATTCCATGGAAGTTTATATTGATGATATGTTAGTTAAGTCCCTGCGTGCAGAGGACCATTTAACCTTTTTGCAAGAGACATTCGACATCCTCAGAAGTTACAATATGAAACTCAATCCCGAGAAATGTGCCTTCGGAGTGGGTTCTGGCAAGTTCTTAGGCTTCATGGTGTCAAAAAGGGGATTAAGATCAATCTCGATAAAATCAAAGCCATGGAAGAGATTATGGTGGTGAACAATGTAAAGGTCATGCAACGGCTGACTGGGCGAATAGCAGCTTTGGGCCGATTCATATCAAGGTCGTCAGACAGGAGTCATCATTTCTTCTCCCTACTCAAAAAGAAAAACAGCTTCGAATGGACTCCAGAATGCCAGCGTGCTTTAGAGGAGTTGAACCGATACCTGATGAAACCACCTTTACTCCACACCCCAAAGAAGGATGAAACACTATATTTGTACCTGGATGTGTCCGAGGTAGCGGTAAGGAGTGTGCTGGTTCGAGATGAGCAAGGTACGCAATTCTCTGTCTATTATGTAAGTAGGACCCTGGGAGAAGCCGAAACCAGGTATCCGCACCTAGAAAAGTTAGCTCTTGCATTAATAAGTGCATCTCCAAAGTTAAAGCCTTATTTCCAATGCCATCGTATTTGTGTTTTAACAACATATCCTCTCCGAAGCATATTGCATAAGCCCGAACTGTCGGGCCATCTAGCCAAATGGGCAATCGAACTCGGGGGGTACGATATCGAATACCAACCCCGAACGGCTATCAGGTCCCAAATTCTGGCAGATTTTATGGCCGACTTCACACCTGCCCTCGTGCCCGAGGTAGAGAAATAACTTCTACTTAAAATGGGCATAACTTCGGGGGTATGGACCTTGTTCACCGACGGCGCCTGAACGTGAAAAGGTCCAGACTAGGTATAGTACTGAAGCCACCTACGGGTGGCATGATTAGGCAATCTATAAAAACGATAAAATAGACTAACAACGAAGCCAAGTATGAGGCTATGATTGCAGGTCTGGAATTGGACAAAGGCCTAGGAGCAGAAGTCATCGAAGCAAAATGTGATTCCCTTCTGGTAGTAAATCAGGCAAATGGGAGCTTTGAGGTTCGAGAAGACAGGATGCAAAGATACCTAGACAAAATTCAAGTCACATTGCACCGCTTCAAAGAATAGACCCTGGTCCAAATACCTCGAGAGCAGAATAGCGAGGCCGATGCCCTCGCAAACCTGGGGTCATCTGTCGAGGAAGATGACTTACTTCCCGGGGCTATTGTTCAGCTATCCAAATCAGTGATAGAGGAAGGCCACGCCGAGATCAACTCCACCAGTCTGACATGGGATTGGAGAAACAAATATATCGATTATTTGAACAGTGGGAAGCTACCCAAGGACCCAAAGGAATTGAGGGCTCTACTAACCAAAGAAGCCCGATTCTCGCTCGATCAAAACGGAACCCTGTATAGGAGAACCTTTGATGGGCCCCTAGCAGTATGTTTGGGTCCGGGGGACACAGATTACGTGCTCCGAGAAATCCACGAGGGCACCTCTGGAAATCACTCAGGTGCCGGTTCCTTAGTCTGAAAGGTGATCAGAGCAGGTTACTATTGGGACAACATGGAGAAAGACACCAAAGAATTCATCCGAAAATGCGACAAATGCCAGAGATTCGCACCGATGATTCACCAAGCCGTTGAACAGCTACATTCGTTCTTGTCACCATGGCCGTTTATGAATTGGGGAATGGACATCGTCGGACCCCTACCGACGGCGCCAGGTAAAGCTAGATTTATTCTATTTATGACTGACTATTACTCAAAATGGGTGGAAGCGCAGGCATTCGAGAAGATAAGAGAAAAAGAAGTCATTAACTTCATCTGGGACCATATCATGTGCCGGTTCGGAATTTCTTCCGAGATAACATGTGATAACGGAAAATAGTTCATCGGAAGCAGAGTAACACAGTTCCTCGAGGACTAAAAAATCAAAAGAATCCTGTCAACACCCTACCACCCATGCACAAACGGCCATGCCGAGTCCACAAACAAGACCATCATTAAAAACTTGAAGAAGAAGTTAGAAACTGTAAAGGGAAAATGGAGAGAAATATTACCCGAAGTACTATGGGCATATCGATCAACTCCAAAATCAAGCACAGGAGAAATGCCTTTCTCTCTGGTATATGGCGCCGAGGCTTTGATACCGGTCGAGGTCAAAGAACCAAACGCCAGGGTCCGACACGCCACCGAAAGGTCAAACAACGAAGCCATGATTGCGGCTCTCGAGCTATTGGATGAAAAGCGAGAAGCTTCGCTGGTCCGAATGGCCACCCAAAAACAAAGGATCGAAAGGTACTATAACAGGAGAACAAATCTCCGACATTTCGGAGTCGGGGACCAGGTTCTCAATTGGGTTTTGTATACGGGTTAAATCGGAGAGCCCAATCTTACGATCATTATGTCTTTCCGTAGCTTCACCTCGAAGGCTCGGGGGCACAGCTCGAGGTTTCGAGTTCGATGTTTCTTTATGACCAACTTCTGGGCAGCATATATCGACTGTTATATTGGAAAAATGGGAAGTTCCCAAGGCACGTGACCAGAACTGACAAAACCTGCAAGAGAAACACTAGTCTGTACCAGACTAGTAAATAGCTGTGCCAGCTATATGTCTTTGTAATAATTACTCATTTACTATGTTGGGATTTCCCTTCCTATATAAAGGGAATCCTTGTCATTTTGTAAGAGATATACAAGATACAACACACAATATTGAATACAAGAACATTCTCTGCTCTCTAACTTAAATACATTCTCCCTTGATTCTATTATTTACATTTATTGCTTACATTTATTGTGTTCTATTAATTGTTCTTCATCTATTGCTCATTATTGATCATAAAGAGCCTTCATCAAAACTCCCAAAGCTGTTAGTCCTTTACCGGCTATCCATAACTTACCCGTATAACCAGGCTCGAGGCCCCGATTCTCGTCCACTCGGTATGCTTAAACATACCGTCTTTGAGTTCTTATCTTATTTTCTAGTCTCTCTCTTAGCATCTATTGCCTAACAAGTAGCATAAAATGAATCACGTATTTTTAGAACCACAAAATCAAATCTAATTGTTATTACCATTTTCAAGGTAAACAGGTTTTATCAACCCCAATGCCAGATGATTTTCTGAAAGTGTTCTCTTCTTAGGGCTTTGGTAAATATATCAGCAATCTGATCTTCTGTGCTACAGAATTTCATGCAAATGAGCCCCTTTTCCGCATTGTCTCTAAGGAAGTGATGAAGCACATCAATGTGCTTGGTTCTCTTATGTTGAACTGGATTTTTGGACATATTGAGTACACTTGTGTTGTCACATAAGAGAGGCACACAGTGTGAGAACACTCCAAACTCTTCCAGCTGCTGCTTGATCCACAGCAACTAAACACAGCAAGAAGCATCTGCTACATATTTTGCTTTTGCAGTTGAGAGTGCCACAAGTTTTTCTTCCTTGTACCCCATGAGATTAGGAAAGAACCCAGCAAATGTGCCATTCTAGACGTGCTTTTCCTGTCCACTAGATATCCTGCATAATCAACGTCAGCATACCCAATAAGATCAAAGCTGTCACCTGAGGAATAGTAGAGAACCAAGTCCTGTGTTCCTTTGAGATATCTCAGTATTCTCTTGGCAGCCTTCAGATGAGATTCCTTTGGATTGGATTGAAACTTTGTACAAAGACCCACACTGAAAACAATGTCTGGTCTGCTTGCAGTGAGATACAGGAGTGACCCTATGATCCCTCTAAACATGGTCTTATTTACAAGGGAACTAGGTTCATCTATGTCTAGACGGGTAGCTGTGGCAAAAGGGGTGTCGATGACTTTTGATGCTTCCATGTCAAACCTTTTCAGTAGCTCCTTGATGTACTTCTGCTGACTTATCAGTTTTCCCTTCTGAGATTGCTTCACTTGAAGTCCTAAGAAGAAATTTAATTCTCCCATCATACTCATCTCGAATTCACTCCCCATGAGTTTTGCAAATTCTTCACAGAGAGAGTCAGTTGTGGCTCCAAAAATGATATCATCAACATATACCCGAACAATGAGCAGGTTCCTCCCTCATTTCTTCAGAAAAAGAGTGTTGTCAATTTTCCCTCTTGCAAAGCCATTTTCTAGAAGAAATTTTGACAACCTTTCATACCAAGCCCGGGGAGCCTGCTTTAGCCCATACAATGCCTTGTCCAGTTTGATCACATGCTCAGGATGCTCGTGACTCAAACCCAGGAGGCTGCTTGACATAGACTTCTTCTTTTAGCTAGCCATTTAGAAATGCTTTGACATCCATTTGGAACAGTGTGAACTCCATATGAGATGGAAGGGCAATAAGAATTCTAATGGCTTCCATTCAGCAACTGGAGCAAATATTTCATCATAATAAATCCCTTCTTCCTGATTGCGACCTTGAACAACCAGCCTTGACTTGTTTCTCGTTGTATTTTCAAACTCATCAAGTTTGTTCCTGAATATACACCTGGTTCCTATGATAGTTCGATCTGCATGTCGAGGAACCAGGTGTCATACCTTGTTCCTTTCAAATTGATGTATCTCCTATTGCATGGCTGTGATGCAGTCTGCATCTTGCAACACTTCTTTGATATTTTGGGCCCTATTTGGGAAAGAAAGTCTGAGAAGGCAAGTGATTTTCTTGCTTTTGATCTGTTTTGGACTCCTGAGTCAAGAGGAGTGATTATGTTGTCAAGAGGATGTGAGCTTTTGTGCTTCCAATTTGGTACCTGAATCTCATTGGTAGAGGACCTAGGTATGTCTGACTGAGGTTCTTGGGCACTTCTTACTTCATCAAGTGGAGTACCTTGGATTACATCAACAACTTTGTTTTCAGCTTCAGTTGTTGTAAACGGGGGACCTGGTTCCTCTCCAATAGATGGAGATATATTTGCATCATCTTCACTGGATTACTTGATATGGCTCATCATGTCTGCATTTCCATTTGCCGTGTCAATCACTTCATCTGGTATAGATAAGGGCTCTCCATCTTGGTCAACACGTCTATCCTTCTCACATGAGAGGTGAGCTTCATCAAAGATCACATGTATACTTTCCTCAACACATTGAGTCCTTTTGTTGTATACTTTGTAAGCTTTGCTTTGAGATGATTATCCCAGAAAACATCTTTCATCACTTTTGGCATCAAATTTTCCAAGAGCTTCCTTCCTATTGTTGTGAACAAAGCATTTACTCCTAAAAGTCCTTAGATGTGTCAGCTTGGGCTTCCTTCCATTCAGCAGTTCATATGGAATTTTGTTCAGAAGGGACCTGATCATGCACCTGTTCACCAAGTAGCAAGCAGTATTGACAGCTTCTGCCCAGAAATTCTTTGCGATCCTACTGTCAATTAGCATTGTTCTTGCCATGTCTTCAAGAGTTCTATTCTTCGTCTCCACAACACCATTTTGTTGAGGTGTTCTTGGAGCTGAAAAATTGTGAGTGATGCCATTTTCACTGCAGAAGTCATCAAATTTGACATTGTCGAACTCTGTCCCATGATCAGACCTAATGCAGGCTACTTTATTACCCATCTTCACTTGAATCTTTTTGACGAAGACAACAAACACTTCAAAGGTTTCATCTTTGGTTTTAAGAAATAGAGTCCAGGTGAATTTGGAGTAGTCGTCCACTATAACGAAGACGTATTTTTTTCCTCGCCTGCTTGCCACCCTCATAGGTCCACATAGATCCATGTGAAGAAGATCAAGTGGCCTGGAGGTACTGACTTCCTTTTTGGGCTTGAATGAGGATCTGACTTGCTTCCCTTTTACACGTGCATAATGTATACGGTGAAATTGGAGCGTCCAATTTCCCGTCATTAAGGCATTCCAGAAGATCATCTCGAAGCCTCGAGGCCGCAAAGCAGACCGAGTTCCCTCCCTCGAGGCTCGTGGACACCCATCCTAGAGGCAATATTGACCGTGGTAAGGGTAAAGACAGGGAGTTCCCAAGACACACAGCTAAGTCCGAAAGAGCCTAGCCGGCTTACTCTGAACTCAAATTCAGGGCGTCAGTCAGCCGTCCCATCCCCATATTTATGTAACTGATGTATTTTGTACTGAACGGGGATTTCCCCTCCTATATAAAGGGGATCCCTGCCATTATTAAAGGGGTGGTTGCTCCAACTACTTCACATGAAATATACAAGAACTCTTTCTTTTTTCTCTCTAACATACTCTCTCGATATTGTTGCTCTTGTCTATTATCTTCATACTTGTTCTTCATTTATTGCTTATCATTGGTCATAAAGAGCCTTCGCTGATTATTTTACAACTATTAGCCCTTCCCCTATTGCTCTTAATAGCTCGAGCCCGAGCCCAAAAATGAACCTCGAGGCCCCGTATCGGTCAGTCCGAGGCCCCGATTGGCTAGCTTATCGATTTAATTATAACTCTATTTTAGCTCGCATTTCCTCTCTAAACTTCATACATATAGCATCATCTGCTTAAACAACTAGCATAAAAATAGATCACGTATTTTTAGAGTCCCATCAACAAATTTAATTATTATTACTATTTTCACGGTAAATAGTTTGGCGCCCACTGTGGGGCTAAAAATAATAGCTAGCTCTCGAAAGGGGCCATGATGTGGTATCACAACCTAGCTCCCAACTCCATAGACTCATTTGCCATGCTGGCAGACTCCTTCATAAAGGCACATGTCGGTGCCATCAAAGTAGCAACGAAGAAGTCTGACGTGTTCAAGATCAAGCAGAGGGAGAATGAAATGCTACGAGAGTTCGTATCTCGCTTCCAAACGGAACGAATGGAACTAGCACCAGTCTCCGACGACTGGGCGGTGCAGGCCTTCACTCAAGGCCTGAATGAGAGGAGCTCAGTAGCTTCAAGGTAGCTGAAAGAGAATCTGATCGAGTATCCTACCGTAACCTGGTCGGACGTCCACAACCGATATCAGTCAAAGATCAGGGTCGAGGATGATCAACTAGGAGCCCCCTCGGGCTCAGTATACCCGAGTAGGCTTCTGACGAAGAAGCCAAAGCCAAATAAGGAAAGATATTAGCCATACACCGAAGACAGGAGGAACGCCCCGAGGCGCAACCCACCTCGCAACGATCGATTGATCAACCGAGGACAGAATCCTCGGGGACTCATTAACAGAACCGGATTCGATGGGAACACAGGGCCAACAGGGGCACCGCGCTTATTAGAATACAGCTTCAACGTTGGTGTATCGGATATCGTTTTTCCCATCAGCAAAATCAGAGACACCAGATGGCCCAGGCCTATACAGTCGGATCCTTCCCAAAGGAATCATAACTTAGTATGTGAATTTCATAACACTCACGGCCATAGGACCGAAGATTGCCACCAACTCCGAGAGGATGTAGCCAGGCTACTCAATAAAGGTCACCTCCGAGAATTCTTAAGCGACCGGGCCAAAAATCAGTTCCGAGAAAGAGAGGCGGCCAAAAAGAATGAAGCGAACGAGCCACAACATGTTATCCACATGATCTTGGGAGGCGTCGACGATACCTAGGAGCCCGTCATGAGAAAGACAAAAATATCCATCACTAGAGAAAAGCGAACTCGGGGGTACATACCCGATGATTTCCTCACGTTCAGCGAAGAGGACTCCGAGGACTTGTATCAACCTCTTAAAGAAGCACTGGTAATCTCTTTCTTCATGAATACATTTCAAATAAAACGTGAACTCGTGGATCCAGGTAGCTCGGCCAACATTATCAGGTCGAGGGTAATAGAGCAGCTCGGATTGTTAGACCAAATCGTGCTTGCCACTCGAGTCCTCAATGGATTCAACATGGCAAGCGAAACAACAAAAGGAGAAATCACCCTCCCAATCAGCATGGCCGGCACGACCCAAAATGTCAAATTTCATATCATCGAAGGAGACATGAGGTACAACGCCTTGTTTGGACGACCGTGGATACACTGCATGAGAGCAGTGCCATCCACCCTCCACCAAATGATAAAATTCCCAACAAAGGACGGGATTAAAACCGTCTAGGGGAAAAGCACGCAGCAAGAGAAATGTTCGCGGTGCACGACGTGGCACCGACACCAATATCTCCACTCACGAAAGAACCAAAGGGCAAGCAAACTACATAATCGGCTAAGCCCAATTAAACATAGTGAAGGACCGCACCGCGTCCTTCATTACAAGCGACAGGGACATACTAGACCTCGGAACATCACTGGCACATCCCACGCTAAGGTATAATCATCTCCCTTTTCATTTTATATTTCATAGTAACCCTCATGCAGGCACCCGATCGAAACAACCAGAGCTCTTCCCAACCTGAAGGACTTAGGTTTCGAAAGCATGTGTTGTACTCTTTTCCTTCAGCCGTATTTCATCCCAAGAAGGGTTTTACCGTCAAGGTTTTTAACGAGGCAACATCTATATGCTACCTAAGGAAGATCCAGACAAATGTTCAAGGCTTCTTTTGCAATCAACCTCGAACACTGGAGGGCATCCCCCCGGAAGATCATCCCCTCGGAAAAGCCAAAAAATGCCAAATGGGGTCCCAATATGAAAATGATGTACCGGGCCAAACGGTCGAATGAACCCTGTCTGCATAGCCGGGCCCCCGAGGGCGAAGAAACATGTACTTGTGCCAAGCAATCAAAGAATACCTTTTGTCAAAGCATCTCATACTCCAAAGGAAACTCAACATTTTCGCCAAAACGATTCCTCCATCAAAAACGTCCCGAATACTCGGAGACTGGCGTCAACGATTCGGCATCCGTATGACCTCAGGGTCGAAACTCAAAACTCATATGCCCTCTACGAGGCAGCGTGAAAATCATGAAACACCTCCAAGGCCAAAAGTGCCCCGAACACTCGGGGAATGGCGTCGAAAACTCAAAAATCGCACGACCTCAGGGTCAGAATCTCCGAAATTGTAAGCCCTCAAAGAGGCAATATCGAGCTGCAGAGTAACGACTCCCGAGCCAAAACAACCT